TTCCCAAAGCAACAAAATTAGCATGTACTATGGGCTTGGTACCCCACGTAAAACAGGGTAGTGAAGAAAATGACTCAGCATCAATCAAATATCTGTTAGCAACATCAACCAGTAGTAGGGGAGCACAAAGAAAATCTTCCCCTATTATAGTCACGGAGCTAACGGCAACTACATAGTTCCACCGGATGTCATGAAAACAGAAAAAACTGATGGCATAAAACTACCCTTTTCTGCGGTGCCGCCATGCAGCAATCCCAGACACCATCGATGAGTCAGAGGCCCCCAGAAGAATCGATGGGGGCAAGGGAGATGCCGCCGGTGAGTCAGGAACTATCGTCTGGATGCCGAAGCTCCTAGCAACCAGGAGAATGTAATCTGCTTATTCTTCCAGTAAGTTGTACTTCTTCGTGGCCAGCATCGGGGAGTTGGCAAGGCTCGGAGGAAGAGGTGAATGAAGAGGCCTGATATTTGGACTTATTTCTATTTGTAATTCTAGCTCTCTGAGCCAGAAAATGTTGAGCAGGTCTTTCCAACCCCTTTGGGTTGAGCTCGGAGCTTTTCCACTCTCTGACTGGATCACCTGTGTCTCCTCAACTTCATCATCTCCAATATAAAGGGAATAGCTGTTCCATCCAGTCTCTTTCAGATTATCTTCCTCTCAAGAGTGGTAAACAGGCTCAGTTTAGTTGTTTCTTTTTCTCCTGCTTCCATGTCTACTAATGTCCTCTCTACCCATTTTCCCAGTGCTCATTCCTCCTTTGGCTGCAAGAATTGGATTCTTGTTCCTTGCAATAGCTGGTCGTCTCCCTTAATATTCATTAGATACTCACCTCTATAACTTACCTGGTGGCTCATCCTCCAACTATCCCTACTACGTGATATCACAGACCAGTAGACATCCTTGTTCCCTTACAGGATTTTTTTCTGAAAGACAACAAGCATAATGGCTTAATCCTCTCTTTGTGCACAAATGTTCTGCAAAGTCTATCGAAACTTCAGGTTTCTCTTGATCTTCTAAATTTGTGAAATGCCATTTCCTCTCCAGCTTACTGCTTTAAGCTATGTGTTTGAGAATTATACCAGGGAGTCAAGTACTTCTGATTCAGGAACTACAGTGAAAAATAAGGCTGTTTTACATAGTGAGGAGGTAAAATTATTAACAAGATAATCGGCCTCTGTTGGCGTAGCGTTCAGGTAGCTGCTCTTCTCTGTGTTGGTACAGGGCATTGAAGATGATAACAGTGGGTGGATTAAATTCTGAAACTTAGTACAGCACTTTGAGAAAGACATCTACTGTGATTTATTAATAATAATAATAATAATAATAATAACAATAATAATAATAATAATAATAATAAATTTTATTTGAAAGCGCCTTTCAGAACATTCAAGAACACTGTACATGGTAGAATAATAAAAGCAACATAAAAGCAAGAAGTTTACACAATCATAAAAGCATAAGACATAAACCAAATTTAAAATAGCAGAGTGGAGAGGTTATGTGGGATAAGCTATTTTGAACAAGTGAGTTTTGAGTTGGGACTTAAATTGAATTGAATTGAAAGCCTTTATTGTCATTATACATGGTATAACGAAATTGGAAACAGCTCTATACAAGTGCACACGTGCTTATAGCACATTATAAAAACTATACAATAATTTAACTATACACTTACTATAAATATAAATACACAGTACAGTGCTGACACAGAGACAGACAGGCAGAGAATTGATGATATTTCAGTGCAGATTGCTTTTGTTCAAGTTTGAGTTGAATATGGTAATGGCTTTGAGGAAGAAGCTATCCCTGAGTCTGTTTGTTCTGGCCGTTATGGATCTATAGCACCTGCCAGAGGGCATTAGGTTGAAAAGATGGTAGCCGAGGTGGGTAGTGTCCTTTAAAATGTTTCTGGCCCTACTAAGACAATGGGAGTTGTAGACGACAGACAAGGAGGGCAGGGGGCAGCTGATGAGTTTTTGTGCTGTGTTTACCACCCTCTGCAGTCTCTTCCTGTCTGCCTCCGTGCAGCCAATTCAATTTCAATTCAATTTTATTTATATAGCGCCAAATCAAAACAAAAGTCGCCTCAAGGCGCTTCATAGATACAGAGAA